ATGCCAAAAACTCTAAGGACTACAAGGATTTCAGGAATTTCAAAAAATTAAAAAGAGCTAGAGCAGCGGGCAATTTAAAAATTCTAAAAGGATTTCAGGGATTTAAAAAATTCCGAAGAATCCAAATATTTAAAAATTGGAAAGATGATAAAAATCCTAAAGATCTAAAAATATTTATTTAAAATTCTAGAGATACTGAAACATCTAAAAATAATGAAAATCTGAAAGCTGGAAAGATTATAGACATTCTAGTGATTCTAGGTTCTGGAGATTCTAAAGATTCTAAAGTTTCCAGTGGTTTGAAAAATTCAAAAAGTATAAAAGCTTTCACGAATTACATACACTAGCAATTGGGAATTATAAAGACACTTAAGATTCTAAATAAACAAAAGTTTTAATGTTCTAAATAAATATAAAAAAGATCCAATAAAATTTTAAAAATTTTAAAGAACCTGGGCGCACCTAGATCCTAGAAATTGCAGAAATTTTAAGCTTTATAAAACTCCTAATTATTGCCAAAGTGGTCAAAATTTCCAGATTGGAAAGACTCTAAAGAGTCTAAAGACTAAAGATTTTAAAGGTTCTAAAGGTCTAAAGACTAAAAACTCTAAAAATTTTACTTGAAAGATTGTAAAGGTTCTAGAGAAATTTCAAAAAGCCAACTATTCTAAAACTTTTAAAGATCGCGTGAACTCCAAAAATTCCAAGGATTTAGACACTTGAGATCTATAAATTTTAGAAAATCTGAAAAAACTAGAAAGTGTGGGATCAATGTGGTAGACCTAGAAATCTTGAAAATTTTGGAAAAGGTTGAATTTCTAAATTCTGCTATAACTGGAGCTTGATAATCTTAGAAATTTTGGAAAATATGGAAATTCTGGTTATTTTGTGTATTTCGGAAAATTTGAAAAATTTGGCTAATTTGGAAAATCTGAACATTCTGAAAATTGTGAAAAATTTGCAAATTACAAAAATTCCCAAAAATTAAAAGGAAATAAAAAAATATTAAATCTCAAAATTTCAAAGTTTCCAAATGTTTGAAATATTTAAAAGATTTCAAATTTTCAAAAATTCTAAAGACTCGACACTTTCCAAAAATCTTAAAGTTTCCATACACTAGAATTTGCGAATTGTAAAGACAACAAAGGTTCTAAATAAACTAAAGTTTCAGGTTCTAAATAGTAGAAATATCAAACAAAATCTTAAAAATTGTGAAGATCTTGGGAGTATTAATGTTCCTAGAAATTATAAAAATTCTAAGCTTTATAAAATTTCTAGTGATTCTGAAGTATTCAAAATGTCCAAATATTGTTAAAATTCTAAGGACTCTAAAAACTCTAAAGATTCTAAATACTCTAAGAATTCAAACGTTAAAAAGGTTTTCAAAATTCTGTTCCAAATATTTCAAAAATTCTATAAATTTTTAAATAACGTATGAACTCTTGACATGACAAAAATTTTAAAGATTCCAAAGACTCTAAACAAAACATAAAATTGTTATAATTTCCACAAGTATTAGGAGTCTTGAACACCCTAATTATTATCTTATACATCTCAGACATTCTAAAGATTCCAGAAGTTCCAAAAATTTCAAACATTTAAAGACTCTTGGTGTCTATTAATTTTAGAAAATCTGGAAATATCTAGAAAGTGTGAAAAATTTAGAAATCTTGAAAACTGAGGAAAATATTAAGTTCTGGCATATCCGAAGACTGATATTTTTATACCACTTAGAAAATCTGGACCTTCTGGAAATTTCAAAAATTTACTCAATTCTAGAAATTCTAAACATTTTACTGAATTTGTGAAAATATTCCAAATATGTACTGTGAAAGTCTTCTCTAAATTTCAATGATGTAAACTCTAAGGAATCTATTATTAAAACTAAATTGATATATGTGGCCCTTGCTAAAATATTAATGACGTTATCAAAAAAAAAAAAAAAATTATATGGAAAAACTGACTATAAAGATGAAAAAAAAATTCTCAAAGTCAGAGTTGATTTTTCGAAGTTGTCTTGTTTTTTTTGTGTACTTTCTTTCTTCTTTTATCGTTTAATACCAATAACAGTTTGCGAATAAAAACCAGATAAAATGTTGATAGCGACCTCACCCTATCCAATCTATCCAAACAGCATGATGTTGACGTTTTGACAGGTATCGATTGTGGCATTCATTCCGTTTTACAAAGTCATTACTTACATATGTTAATTACGAACTGTAAAATACGAAATTAAAAGAATAAATATCCGACTTTAATTAATTTTGCCATTTTGGCTTAACTGTGTACCACTGACTTCTGACGTTAATTAATAGTAGTCCAAACGCTTCGAATAGATCAGCTAATGATCAAAACAACATTTTTTTAATCAGACTGGTTACATAAATATTATTGTGAAGCTGAACAGCAGCTATTAACCAAAAAAGAAATAGGTTTTAGTAATTGTATCAATCAATTTTTTTCGTTTTGTTTCAGTGAGTCATATTTTAATTTTCAGAAATGCCTTTGACACACCTGAAAAAAAACGATAAAAATTTTAAGCCAGATGAGAACACGAAAGGGAATTTTTTCTACAGGGTGACGTTTGATTAATTCACAACAATTAATTTTACCCAAACCTTGGAATTTAGATTTATTGCTATAATCCAAATCTTTAACAGTCTTAATGGAGGTACGGTGTTGATCGCACCACGAACTTAAAAATTACAAGACAATAGATGAGTTGTACACAATGATAAATTATTTTCTTGTCACAGCGTATTAGATCTTGATATTTTTACCCGTAAAACCACTAAAACAGTTCCTAGAAGTACCAAACTTTTGTAGCATAAACCATAAACCACACATCTTTAGTGTCAACTGCTAGGATAAACATTTTTAAACCATGATTGAACATATCCGATTTTATCCTAGCCACAAATAAAATAAAATAAATTTTCTTTTTATAAAGTATATCTCTACTCCATTGAACTGAGTTTGTCAACAGTGAAGAAATTATCATAAGTCGTTATTTTAACGTAAAATATAAAGTGCTAAGTTACTCGTAATTGTTTCTTTGCTATTATAAACAAAGAGCCTGAATTTAAAGTTTGTGTTGTCATTTTCTTGTTTAGCATTTAATTTGCATCAGAAAGCAGAATAAAATATTTTAAATTCTGCTACAAACAAAAGTAAAATTTATAAATAGAAGTAATTCATGTTATAAGTAGCCTTTGAAGCAAAACTATCCGCTTGATACAAAAGCTTTGAACAAAACGGTTTGGCTAAATTTGAGTTTGACAAGCTACACGCGAGCAGGTTAGCGCCCGATTAAAAAAACACTCCAACGTCGAGTATCCACTTGACGTCGGTTTTTGTTAGCCGCACGTTAATACTATTTAGTGTGATATCGAGTGTTCACTAAGTCAGTGCACTAAAATTTAAGGTAGATTTCCCTTCCTGAAAATTCCTTCAGTGTTGTCACTCGTCGTTGGCCACATGTCGTAAAACAAGTACATGCCCTGTCGAGAACATCGCAATTTGGTGTGCGTTTGCGAAATTAGTGTTATTATCCCCCCTTAATTCAGTATTCACAATACTGGGAGCAAAATTGCCCTTGGGGACATTTTTTCGAGGGGTCAGTCGTCGATTCGTCTGCCTCATTATTCGATGGCCCTTTGTACGTGACAGTCGTTCTTTGTTCGTCATGAATTTATAAGGAGTGTGGGCCGTTCGTAAACTATTGTGCCGCATCATTATCAGTTTTATTCTTTACACACACACGGGTGAAATAATTTATAATTTTATAGTGGAATACATTACACCCCACATTTTGGGAGGTACCGCGTCTGCGGTATACAAATGACCCTTATGCATTCATTCATCACCCGCTAACCATATATAGCAACAAAAACAATGCAATGACGCATCCCATTCCAAATTACCACTTGGCCCGTATTGTCTTAAATTTGTTCCCGGAATGTTACTAAAGCAACATCAGCAATATCTTCTTTGGTATTCGATACGCAGTGAAATTTTCCCCATGTGCCCCCCGCTGGTCTTTTCAAGTCGAATTAACTATCGTTGTCAAAATTAATGCACCGCAAGGGGAACAATTACAAATGACGCACTCTTCCTCATGGATGGAAGGGTTGGATAAAAAACGGTCTCGTAGACTAGCCCCGTTGTGTTGTGACAGCGTTCATTTTTTCCTAACTGCATGCTAAATTAATCCTTTTTGGTCATCACGTTAACTATGTTTTTATTCCACACAATACATATCAGGTTAAATAAGATGTTTCCGATTTTTCTGTGCTTTCGATGCGTTTCCAGCTGCGGACGTTACGTCAGCGAATTCTCTTCTTTGATGGTAGTAATCAAATATCTTTGTTCTATATACAGTTGTTTGAAGATTTGATATCCATTTGGTTTTATGCGTTGATGGAGGAATGTATTAGACAATGTCAGGGTGAAATCAGAGTTCGTCGTTTTACTTGATGGGACATAAAAATTCAATTTCCGAGTCGTAGAAGTTCGTTTAAGGCAATTGACAATCATTTGAATAGTCGTAATTCGGTTAATAAAATGTTTGGTGGTGATTGAGGATCATAGAACACCATTCAATCTATGCTTTATTGAAAACATCAACATAAATTTATCACTACTAAAATTGTAAAAATTGGTCGCAGGGGTCGATTTGCTTTCATTATTTTCATCAAGTTGTCCTGTCAAAGAAATTTTCGAAAAACCACTCCGTTAAAATCCAGCATATCATTTAGCAAGATTGATTTCAAAATCCCTAATACCTAAAACCAGAAAATTAATTAACGAAAACAATTAATTTAATTAAATTTCTTATCATTAAAAAAACATACCTACCTACAATGGATTTGAGATAAAAAAATAATATTTCGAGGATTTGTTAATCCGCACTTGTCATTTTCACGTATTACTTAGTTAATTAGCAGTTTAAAAATAATAATCTCTCGCTCGAGATAAAAACATTCCGTTGACCAAATACCTATAAATACCAGAACTACTCCCATCTACTCCCAGTTCCGGCATCATGAAAGTCGTCTTTGTCCTAGCACTAGCAGCCTTAGTGTCGGCGGGCCCTAACCGTCCCAAGGTAAAAAAACCTCACCCTTCCTTGTATTTCAAAACTTTCTTTTAGGTTGCCGACATTGTTGTCAAAAATGTAAAATGGGAGCCCAGCCCCCGAATTATCAACGGCCACGAAGCTGTCCCTCACTCTCTTCCCTACATGGTTCATCTTCTATTTGTTGCATCCAGTTCTGCGTGGATGTGTGGTGGTGCTCTTATTTCGGAAAACTACATCCTAACAGCAACTCATTGTGGACGTGGGTAAGTTTCAACCATCCGTAGTTTGCCAGTTATCTAAAACTTTTTTTTCAGAGCGGAAAGAGTTTACGTGACCCTGGGTGTTCACAATACTTCAGCTGCAGAACCCACTCAAGTCAAGCAGACAGTTCCCGGTGCCAACATTAAACTTCATGAAGAATACGGGTCAGACAGTGTAGCCAATGATATAGCAGTCATCAGATTAAATTCTCCTGTTAGTTTGACTGATGCCATTCAAATTGTTGGTTTGCCGACGCGAGCTGATGTCGAGAATGACTATTTAAATGCTGTGGCCACTGCCAGTGGTTGGGGTTCGACTGACGGTTATGAATTTAAGGTTTCTGATGTACTTAATTACATAGTAGTCAGGGTTATTAGCGACCGGGAGTGTCAGGACGCATTTGCCCCAGTAATACCGCCTAAAACTTTATGCACGTCAGGAGAGCACCTAACTAGTGTTTGCGCTGGAGACTCTGGCAGCCCTCTTGTTACGGACGGTGTGGTGATTGGAGTGTCAGCTTTTGTGTCAACACATTGTCAAGCTAGGTTTCCGTCTGGATGGACGAGGGTTACGGACTTTTTGGACTGGATCGCAGACAATACAGATGTCGAAATCGCAAATAAGTGAAAACTCTTTGTCTAAATAAAGATTATAGTCATGTTCTTAATTCTACTACTAATTCTATATCATCCCACTTTTACGTAACTTTGTGATTGGTGATCTTCCTGATGTTGCCAGATGACTTGCCGAAGAGTCATTAAACTTCCTTTTTCTGTTCTCTTAGATGATAATTAAGACACATTATATACCCTCGAACGTCCGGTGAATCATACAACTCCAGTTTCTTAGATAATTTATAAAATTTGATATTACAATTTTGTAAAATGTAAGTCCGATTAGTTTGCAAAAGTTTGCGATAACGTCATCAAATTGGTGCTGGGGATGATTACACAAATTCTGCTTGGCGATTGACCATGTACACGACGTGACTTGACCTGACATGACCTCTTCAGGAGGAGGGTAAAATACATTTGAGGAGTACGTAAGTCCCAGGACCCCAGTGGCACTGGGGACTATGAGACTCTCCGTAGTGATGGTCGGGACGGGACTACCCACTAAAAATCCTTTCTCACGAGCGTTATCTTCTACCCTGGAACAGCATTTATTTCGTTGCAAGTACTTGTGTCTTCCAACTCTTTCGTTATTTCTCATTTTCTTTAATTTGCATTATGCACCTTAACATTTTTCCTTCACTGCCCAATTCTTCTCCTCTTTCATCATACCAGGATCTAACTCTCTCTGTATTTTATTCTCTATTATTCTCTCGGCTCTGTCCATATTTCACAAGAAAATATTGTTATGTTGCTTGGGTATTTAAAATCGGTTAACTCAACAATTTATTTATTAGTAACTGAAATTTACACAACAAATTACACAGCGATTAAATACAAAAAATTCCGGCGCAACTTGACTGGACTCGGTGTTGACTGAACCAACTGAACAATAATCGTTCCCGAAGGTGGCCTCTATTTAAACCCATACTCTCCTTCTAGAGCTTTCGTGATCGAGATCTTTCTGGAATATCCATGGCGACTTCACATACTAGAAAACCCACAGGTGTCGTACTAGGGCGGCGTATGGGTTTATTTCGTAACAATATTGTATGTTCCACATCATCTGTGGTCTGACATACTCCGCATTTGTCATGTAGTCTTTCTTTATCTCGTCCAAAAAGGCGCCAAAAGTGTTATGACCTGTCAGGAACTGGGTAGTCCAGTAGTTTACCTCTCCAAGTCTTCTATTCAACCATGCTTTAACATCTTCAATCAATCTTTTGTTTACAATGCCTTTTTAGTTCCGGCCTTCGTTCTCCGTTGACACTTTTCTACGACCGCATTTCCTATCTCGTCTTTCTGTTCTATACCCTCTTTTATTACTCTGTTCCTTGGCTCGGCCATTAGGTTTATTGGAAGTAGTTGGGCAATTACTACCGTCGATGTTGTTACGTGTGCTGACGTGATAATGAAATTATTTTCTTCTGGGCTTTTATTAGCTTATCTAGTTTTATATTTGCCATATTTTAAGCTATTTTCTCCATATCGGTGAGGCATATGATATGATGGAATGTCCCATCCTGGATTTTACTCAGAGCCGGCCCTCTCATTTTGGGCATAATTTTTGCCAAACCGTCTATACACTGCTCTACTTTTTCCACTAGAGACTCGACGTGTTTTGCGATTCATGCATTTTTATCAAAATATACTCCCAAATATATCTTTGATTTTATCTTTGCTGTTCATTTGGAAAGGTCAATTCCAGAGTCTTTAATTTTATACTCCTGTCCAAAATCACCACCTCCGTTTTGTCTAATGCTAATTCTAAGTTTTTCTTTTTTATTTCTTCATATATCTTACGCAGTCCAATTGGACTATAATTTGTCCATTTTTCCTTAATATACGAAGTCTTTTTCCCAACAAGAAACTGACAACATGTTAACTATCCTGTTTTTAAAAAAAACCCTATACTTATATTAAAAAAAAAACAGAAAAAAGATTAAACCCCACCCACCCACCCGGATCTCGATTGTGATGAGTTTTTCATTCCTAATTAGACCAAGGGAAGAAATTTAATTGTAACATCCAAAATTTCTATAGAAAATTCTACCCTTTTAAAAACATATTTCAAATGGTAATTTTTTGTAGTGAAAGGATGATTTTATAACTAAGCTCCACCCTTCAGCTCACGATGAATAAAAAATTCATCACAATTGAGAATGGGTGGGTGGGCGGGGCTTATCTTTGGTCCATTTTTTTCTTAATATACGAAGTCTTTTTTCCCAACAAGAAACTGAAAACATGTTAACTATCCTGTTGTTGAAATTAAACTCTATATATTATAAAAAAAAGATTAAAATTAAATCTAAAAATTGAAAAATCGAGGAATTGAAAAATGAAAAATTTGAAGAGTGAAATAAACGAACGAAAAATTGTAAAATCGGAAGAAATATTGAAAAAATAAAGGAATGTCTCCATTCCCTTCGGTTTTTTGTGTTCTTTCTCCAGTCCTGTATTTGTTTTCTGCTAGGTCTTCCTCTATCGCTTTTTCCTTAGTCTGCCTCTTTTTTTTTGCCCTCTGGAATTTTCCACTCCACTCTCTTAACTTCTCTTTCTCGGGTCATTCTTTCTAGGTGTCCTAACCATCGCAATCTATTTATTTTTATGAAATTGCTCATAACTGTGTCATTATATAAATTATATATTTCTTCATTCGTTCTTCTTTCCCATCCTCCTTCTGCTTGTTTCCCTCCAAAGATTCTTCTAAGTATCTTCCTTTCCCAAATTTCCAGTCTTTGTTTAATTTTATTCTTCTTGGGCTTTTGTTATTCCTCATCTGATTTATGATCTCCTCTATCTCTTCTCTTGTTGGCATTGTTATACTTTCATTACTTAAAGTTCTTTTTTTTATCTTTTTCTTCTGGTATGCTTCCTCTATAGTTTTTATTTGTCTTTCTAAAAAATCCTTTTTTTTCATGCGACATATTTGCTTAACTTCTTTTCTTTGACTATTATAATTCCTTGTACTTTCTTAGTTTCTTATCTTCTTAAAAAAAAAATTCTGTCACATCAAAAAGAATTGTTGAATGTTTAAGATAATCGAAAGTGACCTCTAAAATAAGTGAATTGGAAACCTTTCTGCCTTTCTTCTAAGGTCCTTGGGATTTTTGGGAGACACTATTAAGGCCGTGTCATCATAGCCTGATTTCTGTGTTTGTTTCTAGTCTGCTCTTTAAGTGAACTAAAGAAAGTACAAATTCCAGAGCGTAGGTCCCAGGATCGTCCCTGGGCTACGCCGCAGGAAAATTCGTATCTTTCACCTGTACTCTTATTGTCCTATCACTTAATTAGCTACTTATTGTACGTACTATCTTTCTTCTCAATTCTTAATGCATTCTTAATATCTAGGGTTTTCATCAAGCAATATTTTTTATTTTTTATAGCTTTTTTTTCTTATTGTCTTGATATTATTCTGATGATTTGTTATAATATCGAAAAGCTCTTTCAAAATCTGAATTCATTCGGAGATATTCCACCATTCTCCTCAATTTCTTTGTTCAGTCTCTTTTTCATGAGTGCCTCGTAGACTAGAAAATTCAAATTGGTCGCTATTGCTTCTCTTTCGATCCGTTTGTGCTTCCTTTCGAGATTAGAACAATTCTAGCCTCTTTCCACTCCTCTGGGAATTCACCCTTATGGACACCAGGGACTTAGCTTCGACCATCCCTGGTAGTGCTAGGACTTTTACCGCCTAAAACCTTCCCCCCCCCCCCCGATCAACAGTTCTCGTAGCCCCCCCAACTGCGTTAGCATTACTTCAGGGGGGTGGTTGGTCGTCACTTTCCCATTCTCTCTATCTTATTCTTCCCTTCTTTTTTTCTCCTCATCTTCCTTGGTTTTCCTATTTCCGTATTCCTTTTTTATCCATCCTTCCCTTCTTTTTTCCCTTGTAATTTTTTCCCTTTTTCTCTGATGCCTCAGTCGTGTATTGTTGATTCTTCAGATATGTAATCTTTTTTCCTTTTTATGTCTGTTCTTCCGGGTTCCTATCTCCCCTTCTTTTTTCCTGATCTCAAGTCCTCCTTATTTTTTCCTATTACTATCACCTCCGTTCTTAATATCCCGTCATAAAAAATGTTTTCCAGGTGTGATCCTAGGACCAACCCCGGGGGTCATTTCAAACTCACCCATCTCCGTATGACCTACTCCATCGCTCAAGTAGGACCGCACCACATTCACGATACCGTGTTGAAGGCATTCTGGACGTCCACAGTCACCATCACGCAAAACCACCCGTACCACATGTACCCATATTTGCTCCTCTAGCTTACTCATATGCATCTACTCGTATCATGACGTCGATCGTCGATCGACCGCTCCTAAGTCTATACTGTGTCTCCGCTAAGTCCCCGAGCCTCCGAACGCAAATTCCTCAGTCTATCGGTCAGCATTCCTTCATACAACTTGCCCATTCCATTCAGTAGGTAGATAGGCCTAAATTGCACTCTCTCTCCTTCCTTTATTTCTTTCTCAATCAACACCAGTATTGCCATCTTCCATTCCTTGAGAACTTGGCCTTTGTTCAGGCACCTATTTATTACCTCCAAACATTCTTTTTCACCTTGCCACTCCCCACATTTCATCTGAATTGCTTCGTATATTTCCTCCGACCACATTTTCCCTAACAGTTTAGCGACAGTTTCATAATTGGCCACATCCCCCAAAAAATCTTTAACAGTAATTTTTTTGTATTATGTTCCAGCAGCTTTTCTTCCCAAATTCTTAATTGTCTTACATCTTGCTCTTTCAAATAGGCTATTTCTTTACGCAACTTTTGATAGCTAATAGTTACGTGGTATTCAGCCTCACCTTGCGGCATACCTTTGACTATCCTTTCTATGCATGTTTTTAAATCGTCTTTCTGCAGTCACGTCGTCAGGCTTTTCAACTCACATTTTACCGTTTCTAAATCGCTCTTTGGATTATACAACGACCCTACAATTTTCTCCAACTGCACGACCTGTTTACAGATTTTGTCGATGATTCGTTTGGCTGTTGTTCCATTAGTATTTACACTTGCATCATAAATCTTGGGACATCTTTTTTCGTTTTT